TGTAGGAAATAAGGCTTACGTATAACTAATATGATTCTGGTTTAACTTTTTAGCATGCAAGAGAAGTAAGACAAAATTTAGTGGACATGTCTAGTTGCCAATCTCATGATACATCACCAGTAGTGATTAGTGCATGCTAGCCACAAATTTGAAGATTTTCAGATATCACAAACAAAATATGAAATTTTCCAAGTAATGGAATTTGTGAATAAATACACTGGTGTGCAAAAATTAAGGACGAGACGCTTTTTTCAATATAACTTTGTACACAGGCTTTCCAAATCAACACATTTAATACCGTAAGATCCCCAATACGTAAGGACATGAGTAATGTAAGCAATACTTACTAAAAGAGAATCAGAGGGATAAAAGAAGCTTTATTGAAAAAGTAGCATGGAGCGCAATGCGACTGAAGGCCGAACATCCCTGTGATGGGTGTCCAGCAAGAAACATCCGGTCTTTAATAGGGGATATGATCTACCCTGACTGCTAGGCAGGTTCACACAGCATCTGCCCATGCTGAGAATGAGGGTGTCAATGAGTTGTTGAGGCATTGCTGCCCATTCGTCTTGCAGCGCCAATCGAAGCTCCGGAATCGTTACTGGTGTAAGGTACGAGCTGCCGAGCATCTGCCTAGAAAATCCCATACATGCTCGATGGGATTGAGATCCGGAGATCGTGCCGGCCAATCCATACGTTCAATATCCTCACTCTCTAAGAGCTGTTCGGCAGCTACTGTGCGATAATAAGGTGCATTGTCGTCCATGAAAAGGAATTGCGGACCCATAGCGCCTCTAAAAAGACGCACATATGGAAGAAGAATCTTTACAATAACGGGTCCCGTTGACTGAACCTGTGTCGAGATGTGAAGGTCTGTACGACTACCAAGATGATGCGTCCTCAACGAGAACACCGACACCTCCATACCTGTCCCTTTCAATGATGTTTGAGGGATGATTGCGGCTTCCCCGCTCTCCCAGATGAGTATGCGATGAGAATCACTACTCAGACTGAAATCTGCTCTCATCTGTAAAGAGTACTCGTCCCCATTCATTGTCTCTCCAATTCCGTGTTGCCGCCACACAGAGAACGCCTTCTCCGAGGGGCAGGCGTTAGGTACACACCGTACAGGACGTGTGCAAACAGACACGCCGTGCAGTCTTCTGCCACGGTAAACGCGATATCGGTCCTCCATCGTCTGTGTCGCATGTCTAGCATTTCTCCGCTCTGCTGCTGTTCTTCTGGCCTGAGCAATTACCGGTCGATAGTTTAGTCATTGACTGTGATTCTTCCTTCTGTTATGCAAGTTTTTATGCAAGTTTTCCAAAACTTGATAAATTATCACTAAATGTAGTTGTTTTCTTAAGTGGGTATTTATCCAGAAGAGTATTACGTTGCCTAAAGCTAAATGAGTGCGATACATGTAAAGTGGCTCTTATAGATACGGCAAAGGCCTATGCTACAGCATACTCTGTTCTTACATTTTAACGAATATAAAGATCAAGATGTAACAGAAGGAGGACTAACACATCCATCCGAAAAGACGACAGCATGCATTGCTGAACTTCTGCATATATCCAACACTTTTTTATCTAGTCGATTATCGTCACCTGCATCTGCAATTTGAAATCTCTTGACGCATCATGTTTGAATTTCTAACGTTTAGGAAGAAAATTTGGAAAAGAAAAAGCTCTAGCTAAAACTACAAAGGACAAAAATAGAATGAAAGGCTGGTTGATGAGTATGTCTCAGTTTAGTCGTAGTACTTGATTCCTTTAATACGGCATGATGAGGCATGTAATACGTAGAGTCAATAAGAATCTCTCCCTCAGGCACTCCCTCCATATGTCTCAGCTCAAGGTATTCCCTCATGAAATCCTTATACTGTTCATATATCTGAGGCCTTTTTAGAAGTGAATTTTCTAAAGATTGGAATCTACGCATAGCTAATTGTCTGGAATCTCCAAGCTGAGAAGGCGGAGAGTGAAACGGTAATTTCACAGTATATACCCCACTTTCCTCTCTCGTATATGTAGATTTGAAATAATCTTCACATGCTCTCTCCGATTTAGTAAGCATGTCAAACGTAGGTACAGCATCCAATTTCCAAAAGTCAGACAGCATCTGATCAGTTTCCACTTGTATATTATTAACATAGATAGTAGGATTAATTTCTGTTGAATTATTCACACTACCTGAAATAATCCATCCTAGTTCAGAACGAGAAGCTACCGGTTTACCTTCTTCGCATTTAATTATTTCTCCCTTTAAAAGAGGTAAGGCAATATCTACGCCTAAAAGTATATCAACAGGCCCACTTTTGTAAAATGTTGGATCTGCTAACATTAAATCATTATATTCCTCAACGTACTTCTTATCCAATGTAAAATGCGGCAAAGTTCCAATAATTCTATTGATGATAAATACTGGTGTTTTAAATGACACTTTCGCCGGAAAATGCGGAACGAAGTTTATTTCCGTAATTCCATTAGTTTTCGTATCCAAAGACCCTAAACATGAAATAAAAACTTTGGCATTTCTTCTTGCTAACCCTAGCCTTTGTACACAATCTTCTGAAATCAGGCTTGCTTGACTGCCAGGGTCAAGGAGGGCTCTACACAATTGGTATTCACCCGATGAATCTAACACTTTAATAACAGCCGTACATAATAAAACTTCACTCTGAAAATTAAAGTCTGAAACACAAGATTTAATTACTGGACTAGAACTTGCGATATTCTCCCCTGACCCAGCCGATTGAGCGCGAGGTTCTGGCCCAGGGAAAAATGGCTTAGCCGTCACTGATAATTCATTCGAACTGTTCGTAACTCCTTTACGTGCCTTTGGTTCATTTTGAACTCTTTCGAAATGCAGTAGTGTGTGATGATTTTTAAAGCACTTTTTACATTTATGTGTACTTCTACACTCGAAAGCTTTATGATTTGAAACCAAACAATTAAAACAAACATTATTTCTCTTGACAAAATTAACGCGTTCCTGAACATTCAGATTTAAAAACTTATTACATTTAAAAACTGAATGACCGGCTTTACAATACGTACACTGCGCGCGAATCTCTGAAGCCAATGAAGTTAATTTGTCTTTTGTAACTTGTTTTTTAACACCTTGCGTTTTACCTGCTTGCAAGGTTCTGGCATGAGATTTCAAGAACTCTAGCAGATTATTAAGTGTTGGTATTTCCTCACTCTTTAATGTTCTTTCCCACCATCCTCTCGTCGAAGAATCCAATTTAAACTGTACTATTAACATTAAAATAGTATCCGCGAATTGCTCCACTTTGAATCCTAGATTTTCAAACGAACATACACACTCTCTTACAGTGTCTACTAACGCTAATATCTGACTAGGAATTTCAGATTGTAAATTTGATAAATACAAGATTTTCTTTAATAACGATGAAAGTAATTCTCTCTTATGTGAAAATCTTTGACACAATAAATGCCACGCTATTTCGAAATTCCTGTCACAAATAGTTAAAGCTTGAACAATCCGCAAAGCATCTCCTTTTAAAGAACCCTTTAAATATTGTAGCTTTTGTGCACCTGATAAACGGTCATTATCCACTATCGCCGTTTTAAATAAATCAAAAAATGATAACCATTCTTCAGTACTGCCACTAAATACAGGAAGAGTTAGCTTAGGTAAGCGTATACTCGCTATTTCACAAGATTTAGTTTCCACACTAATGTCTTTAACATTCTTAACTCTGGTTAGCATTAAAATTAACTCATCAACAGTATCTTGTATGACCTGTTGTTCTTCTATAAATACATCAATATCTTTTTCTTCACACACTACAAATATGTTAGAAAAATATCCGAAAGTTCGGTCATTAAATTATTTAATCTAGATTTAAAAAGTTCTAACTGATCAACATCAGCAGAATCGTAAGTCACTGTAATTTTCTCTTTCAGTTTACTTAACTTAGCTTTAGCTACACGCTTTTTAGTCTTAAGCGTTGTAAATTCCATTATCTAATAAGAAAGATAAAAAAACACACTGACTCACCAAATTTACTGCGACTCCGTAGCTGACGGACCAAAAAACATGTACGATCCGTTGTTAAAAATAGTGGACTGTAAATTGACTTGATATTACTTCAGTATAGAACCCAAAAAAACCTCAGAATCATAACGTTGACCGAAACTTCTTTATTGACTTTCAAACAGTAAGTTAGTTGAGGAACGGCGAAGACCACACTGCAGACTCCGAACTCAGTAGCGGCTTACCAACACAAACTCAGAAGACCCTTGAACCAAACACCCAAACCTAAAAAAGCTTTAAAAAAAAACAAATGCGCTGGGTTCCCAAAAAAAAAAAACAATTTGTATTTTGAACAAATTAAAAGTCTTCAAAGCTTTTCAAATGAGAAGGGTATCAGTTTGTACACTGTCTTTTACAACAAAGTACGTGCTCCCCAGAAAAAAGAACCATGTCACAAATTTTAAGAATTAGCATCTTATGTTAAATTGCACTTTATCATAAAAAATATGGAACTTCCAAGTTACATTTTCGTTTAGTGGATTCTTTTTGTTCAAAAGGCAAAATTATTGTCTGAAAACCACTATGCTAAGAACATATTTATTAACTGCCCTAAAAATGCTACCTGAAATTCCTTAAAAGTGTTTTCTTATTACTAGCCAAAGGATTGCAGCTCTTATGCAGATGATTTGAGCTAAGGGGAAAGAGGGGAGGTACAAATATAAGACATGTGCCACTTAAAATGTCCTATTATAAAATATTCAAATCAGTACATTATAATTTAAATAAACAAACAAAAAATCAGATTTTACTTACATATGACACAATATTTTTTATTATAAAGTGCAATATAACGTAAGATGATTGTTCTTCAAATAACTTCGAAGTTCTTTTATCTTCAAAGCAGTATGTTATAATTTAAAGAAATAATAATAATAATTAAAAAAATTCTGATTCATTGACAATATTTATATATGACATAGAAAAACTTACAAGATAACTTGGAAGTTTTTTTTCCATCTCCTTATTAGAACTGTAACATGAATTTTCTTCATTCCATTCATGATTCTTGGATTCAACACAAATTTGAACTTTCTCATCTGTTTCATTTGAGTCAAAACACATCCAATTTCTTTCATTTAATTTAAAATCATTTAAGACAAAGGAATTTTCATTTTTTTCATTGAACTCATCATCAGTTTCATTCCTTTCAACTAGCTCATTGCTACCAACATTGAGACAAATTTGCTGTTTTCTTATTCATTTCATCATTATCTACATTTAAAAAAAAAAAAAAAAAAAAAAAAAAAAAAAAAAAAAAAAAAAAGAGAGAGAGACTTAGATACAGTTGACCAAATCATATACATATTTATAATTAATTAGTACAAATCACCACTACAAATAATGACATGGATTTTGGGCATTTGTTCATGCTTTGAATAGTAGTTTCAATACCAAACATAAAAAATAATACAGCATTTTGATGACAATATTATAGAGAAATCAAATTTCATTAAAGATGTATCATACAAACAATAGGTCTCAGGAAACAAGGTGACTACATCTACTTATTACAGGATTTTGCACAAAGCTGTAGATTAAAATGAATTAAAAAATCTATTTAATATTTCTGAAGATGCAATATTATTTGGTATCATAGTTAAAGTTTCTGCACAATGCAAATAGAATCTTCATACACTGAAAAGAGATTTTTATATAAAATTTCAAGAATACAATTAGGTTAATAAACAGAGCATTTGTAGATATAAAACAAATTTAAATAAACACACTAATTGGAAAGTACTTTAAAAAATAAGAAAAATATTTAAAAATCTATTTAGTATTTCTGGAACTGCAATAATATCTGATATCACAGTTAAAGTTTTTGCACAATGCAAATACAATCTCCATGCAATGAAAATAGATTTTTAGATTAAACTTCAGAATAAAATTGGGTAATAAACAAAATATTTGTAAAGACAAAAACAAAGTTAAATAACCATACTCAGAAATACCAAAAAAAAAAAAAAACTTACAACAATTTTCTTTCTTTTCAGAATGTGAGATTTCATTACACATCTTTTGCTGTGTTGTTTTTTCAGATAATTTTTTTACAGTTGATGATTTCCTAGATTTTAAATTTGAAATATGAGTATCTGTTTCAGATACTTTATTTTGTTTACTTGGAGCCTGAAAATCTTGGAAGGAAGCTTCTTTGGTCAGTGCACAGATTCTCTGAGTCAAAGACAAAAATGAGTCATCACTGGATGATTCCTACAAAGGGACAGAAATTTACAGCAACAATTAAAAAAAAAAAAAAAAAAAATGTAAAATGTACTGGCATAAAATATAATTCACCACAAAAAAGAGTAAAGTGTCATTTAAAGACTATTTCACAAATTAAATGCTACACAGGAACTTCTTAATTATTATTCAAACAGCAGATACAAGAGCCATGCCATCAGCTTAAATAATAACGGGGGGAAAGAAAACTTTAGTGCTGGTTGCCAAAAGCCCATTGGTTCTTTAACACTACATATAATGGGCATGTGCTAGCTTTTATTAAACGAAATGAAATAAAGAAAATATGGTATATTTTTTTTATTTTCATGATCATACAATTTCATTCTTGGATAGTGAAAGTTCAAATTAAATTCAATAACAAAATTGATAAGATTTTGTTGAATGAATAAGACAAAGACAGCTTGAGTGAGAGCACTGAGAAAACTAGTCTGGCCAGATGAAGAAAACTTTTGGACAAATTTAGCAAAGAAGTGAGAAGGAAGACAATGCAAATTAATAATAATTAGCAATGGGAGAGTTACTAAATATTTCCTTTTGTGATATAAATAAATTTCATATTCTTCAATGGTAAATTTCAGTATTCTGTATTTAAGCAAGAAAAATTCATAGGAATAATTGGTTTAAATTTTGCATAAATATTTGTCAAACAATGATATTTGTTTGATAAAGACCAAAAATAGATAGATTTGCCAGCAAATATGCACAGTAGTGGTGTTAAAAGTGCAAAAGATATATATGTGACATAAAGAACATCACAAGCATTTGTAATAAAATCTGAACTAAAAAACATGTTTTCTAATTACTTGTGAAAAAAAACTAGATCAGTCTACTTTTAATGATTACATCATTAAACATATTCTCTTTTTACAAAATTTATTTATTTAAAATTCAGGACATTAAATATATTAAATTCTTATTAAATATCTGTCAATGGCTTGGATAAAATAAATTTCAAAAGATTGGCTCATTGGATAATCAACCTGGCTGGGTATGGAAACCATTCAACTGCCAGATAACAGAAAATGCATCTACAACATTACAAAAAAAAAAAAAAAAAAAAAAAGTTAATATAGCATTGACTGACTGCTATAATCCTAATACTGAACACTTTGGTCATTTAATGCCATTGTTTACTCAGGTTCCTACTAGATTAAATGCACTTTGCATAACTGCAGGCATAACAGATCTAATAAAAAGCAATCGTAGCAGATTTAGATAATATTTCATTTATATTAGTTACATATTTTGAAGCCACCAATATTTTGGCACACTAATCATAACTGTTCCCAAACTTAACAGTAATATTTTTGATAGTGTTATGATATGAAGAAAGCAGCAAGCAGTAATCTAGGGTGACCGAGGCACAGATGTGAAGTGTGATATGTCTAGGACGAAATGTTAATTCACAGTGATTTAGTTTTGATTTCAATACTACTTGATGGGATAATTAATAAAGCTCTAAAATTATTATTTGCTTACATAAGTTGCTTTCGTCAGAGCACTATGTAAAAGTCATATGATATGGAGTAACCTAGGAATGATGCAGTCTAGAAAAGTTATAATAAAGAATTAATATTTTTAGAACAGAAAGGGAAATACCCAAATTAAAATGAAGAATCAATGGTCACTGCTAATTTACGTTATAATTTTGATTTACATACTTTTTAAAATCTTACATTATATATATGAATCATGATGATCATCATTAATCATCATAACTAATATAAACATACACATATCACTTACAATCACGATCACTAATCATCATAATTAATACACAGTAAACCCTTTTGAATGCAGATTTGTGGAACATGGTTTTGCGTACACATGCTATCTTAATTGTCTCAATTTAATTTTTCCAACACAAGAATTTCAATTTTTATATGTGGGATACCACAGAGTATAAGCTGCATTGTGATAGTCCTCTTTTATGACTGGTTTAAAAATTTATTTCATTAAAAATGTCAAATATTGGTTCAAGCAAGCAGCAAAACAGGAGTTTCAAGCATATCCTAATCCTCAATAATGCTCAGGACACAGTGATCAAGCCTTCACAACAATGTATCCAAACATTTTATTCCTAAAAAAAAAAAAAAAATATTATAATCTTTTATTCCTATTAAAAAAATCAAAGCTTGTTATGTCAGGCATGCATACATATCTGCAAATAAAGCATTAAACAAAGGAAAGCTTGAAACAATAATGATATTTTGGAAAAGAATTCAACATAAGACTCTGCGTAGAAATGATTAAATTCACATGGGAATAAGTTAATTCATCAACAGTGAATGTCTACTAGAATTAATTCTGGCCAGAAGTAAAAAATAATTTTAAAAGATTTCCATCAATTGAAAATGAAATTAAAGAAATTATACAAATTGCAAAAGCAATAGGTGGATCATATATGAAAGAAGAATTAGTCGAGAACGGCAATCTTGAAATGACAAATGAAGAACTGCATGATCTTATAACTCTAGCTAATGGTGAAAGCAGTGATATTGAAGAAGATAAAGAATCTTTATCCTATAATTTAAATGAGCTGTTAATAAAAGCACAGGAACTGTCTGATTTTTTTAATGGAGACTGATTAAAATGAATAAAAAAGAGGATACTTTATGAAAGGTATAGCAAAATGTTATGCTCTTGCTGCGAAACATTTAATGACTTGGGGCAGACAGTGTCCCAAGCAAAAATCACCAGTATTTAAAAAAAAAAAAAAAAAAAAAAAAAAAAAAACTGTATCATGTACCTACTTATAACCTTAAATATAACAGAAATCCTTTAAATTAGCATTTGATTCTTTTTCTCTTTTCAATGACAGCATTATTTAAGGTTTGCATAAAATATACATACTACCTTAACTTGAACTACATGTAACCTATTTTTTTTATTTTTTTTTATTTGAAAGTTAACTTTGGTGAATGCAGTTTTGCCATACATGCAGTGTGTTAGTGATATAACCGCTGCATTTGGCAAGTGTTTACGGCATATATATATATACTAGTGGACAAGCCAAAGCAAAATTTATAAGTTTTATGTACCCCTGAAAAGCAAATGTATAAAAACATTTCAGTATGAATGAAATAAGTTCATTCTTTCCAAGCAACAACCAATTCGTAAATAATTTTTTTAATGCCAAACCAGGAAGCAAAAACTTTTGACACTTCAGGTACGATACATATGATAGCACGATTTAAATTTAATGTAATATAACATTTTCTCAATAGCAATAAAAGAATTAATGTGGCATTAATACATTGTGTCAATTATACTAATTTGATATACAAAAAGTTGCCAACAGAAACTGTTTAGTTAAAATGTAGACATTAATGACTAATTTTTTACATACAATGACGTCACATGCAATTCTTCAATGTTAGAATTTTGATTAACAAACTCTATGATTTGAAAGCGAGCAGTGGCAAGACACTTCAAATTAAAGCAGATTTTTATCTCCTGCGCATAAGACTGTTGCCACTTGGAAAAAATTAGCTTTTCAGAGTTTTTAATTACTATCTCGGTTGATTATAGTTGTTCGAAGATGATAATCGTTGAAATGGCTTCCCATAAACTTTTGGAATCGGAAATAATATATTTAATGTTTGGCAGTGCTATTTTTATTTCATAGTTTGTAAAACTTAGATTTTTTAGTAACAAATTCTATGATTTGAAAGCAAGCAGTGGCAACACTTTTCGAAATAATGCAGATTTTTTATCTCCAGCATGCAAGACTGTTGCCACTCGGAAAAATAAGGGCAAAGTTATCTTTGCCATTATTTTTGAATTTTTATTTTATTAGACTTTTTTTTAATAAAAAATTTATTTATTATAAAAATAAATGATATAGTTTTTAAAAATAATTTATAAAATAAATTATTAAAAATAAGTAGTATAAAATATATTTATTACAATTTATTCTGCTTTCATTTTTTTCTTGAAAACGCAAACGCATTTTCAGAGTTTTTAATTAATATCTCGGCTAATTAAAGTCGTATAAAGACAAGAACAGTCAAAATGGCTTCCCATGAATCTTTGGAACACGAGGATACCTCTCTCAAAGCTCAACTCCCCACTGTTTTGGAGGAGATAATGCCACATACACATAGACAGACGTGCACAGATTTTAATAGTATAGGATACATATAAGATCAATAAATATTTGAAAACAGACATTGAAAGCATTGTAAGACTACCGTTCTTCATTGCCAAAAGGCAAAAGTCCAAAGTGTATGAGTAAGTCTGTGGTATTTTTGGACTACAAATCCATTTAACAAAACTGACTTCAGCTGGGAATTTATGTTATGGTCTGAAGTACATGTATTGTTTTTATCAGGTTATAAATACGTCTTTTACAATAAAATACCCTACCCCCTCCTGAAAAAAAAAAAAAATTATGTCACAAATTTCAAGGACAAGCATGTTATGTTAAACTGCAATTCATCATAAAAAAATATGGACTTTCAAGTAACTTTTCACTTAAGCGGATTTTCTTAAGCCAAAATTATTGGTTGAAAACCACTATACTAAGAACTTATAGCCATTTGTTGCCTTGAAAATGTTACTTGAAATTTCATAAAAGTGTTTATATGTTACTAGCCAAAAGATATGGCAAACAAAAGATTGCAGTTCTTATGCAAATTACTTGACTAAGGTGAGAATGAGAACTACAAATAAGACATGTAGGCCACCCAAAATGTCCTGTTATAAAAGAAAGCAAAAATTAATAAACAAAAAAATTAAATAAACAAAAAATTTATTTAAAATATTTATACATAACAGGGAAAAACTTACAAGATCACTTGGAAGCTCTTTTTCCTTTTTCTTACCAGGACTGCAGCAGATTGAATTTCCTTCATTTAGCTCATGATCTTCAGAATCAACACAAATTTGACCTTTTTCACATGTTTCATTCGAGTCAAAATAAATCCAATTTGTTTCATTTAATTTAACATTATTTAAGAGAACAACATTTCCCCTTTTTTTGCTGAACTCATCATTATCCTGATTTCTTTCAACTAGTTCATTACTACCAACATCAAGACAAATTTGTGGTTTTCTATTCAGTTCATCATTATCTACACCAAAACAAACTTGACTTCTTATAAACTGCTGATCAGTTTTATCAGATTTACAAGATGCAGTTTCTGTAAATGGAACCGTTCCTTTCACTTCATCAGAAGATCCATCTTCATCTGAAGAGCAAATTAAGATATCTGGAGATAAGTCATTCCTTAGTTCTATCATATTTGAACTGTCAGGTATGTGTGAGAAATTATGAGTACTGCTGTCCCTGTATGGTATGCTGTCTACAACAACTTGATCTGCATCTGACATAGATTTGTTCTCAATAATTTTTGTTGAATCCAACAAGCCTGGTATGTCTTCATTGGAATCAGAAAGAAGAACAGCAGGTAATTCTTCATCAGAGTCAGATATTAGAATTTCAGGTGATGAAATATCTCCCTTGCTCTTACTAGAAGACGAGAATTTGTTAGGACTTCTGAAAACACTTTTATCAACAGGAAAATTTGAAACATTTGCCTTTAAAGTAAAAAAACAATCTACAGCTGAAGATGCTGTTATAATACCACCATTTTTATTATCATGAGACTGTTGTTGCAGATCCCTAAATTGATCAAATGATTTATGCATATCTTTTATAATGGAAATTTCTAAATTAGGTGATAATGCCCTAGTGCATTCAAGCATGCTTTTACATAAATCACTCACTAATAAACTTGACTGCACTGTTACAGTTTGACTTTGAACATTATTTTGATAATCAGAAACATCGGGAGAATGTTCTTCTATTTGAGTTGGGAATGTATCTTGCGTAAGAGTTTTATTAACACTTTGACTATTACTTTGGACACATAATGCAGAACAGGAATCATGCATAATATTTCTTTCACATATGTCTACATTAGAAATCTGTGAACTACTTTTCTGAGAAAATTCTCCAACTATTGCAATATCTTCATCACAATCACTAGATAAATTGTCAACACCAGATGTACTATTAAAGCTCATTACAGATTGCTCTTTTACTGATTTGAGTAAAATATTATCAATTTCACCGAGTTTTTTGCTACAGGAATGGTTAGGGCTAAAAGTGGTGCTACAGATAGCAGTATTTTCACTTATTTCCTTTATATTTCTAAATTCAGAAACCTGATTGATGATGCCACCTGTTTCTGATATATCGTTTTGTGAGGCCTCACACATATTTAATTCACTTTTAGCAGGACTCTCAGGTTGAAGGCTTGAATCGATGAAATTATTCACAATTTCTAAATTTATGTTGCTTACTTGACTAAATTTGTCAATTTCAACCTCACAACCAGAGAGGTTTCTGTCTTCCTTAAATACCTTTTCTAAATACGGGAAGTTATTTTCATTTCTAATATTGAGCTTTGTAGCCAGTGGTGAGTAATTATTTTCAACTGGATCTGACCTATATTGTTCTTTTGCAGAATGCATACCTGGAAAAAAAGAAAGGAACAAAAAATATACTTAAATAAGCAAAATATACTTAAATATGGGCCTTATTCATAGTAACTAAAGTAAGATTTAACAAATCATGTAGTATTTTGCCATAATAAGCCATTAAATCCACTATTTCAGTATTTTCACCACTCCATTCATTACATCTGATCTCTAAATTGAGTAGTTGGTTGGGAAATTTAAGAACAGTTTCGGAGGCAGTTTTAAGTAAAATAACAACTCTCCTTAAAATTAAAATGGGTGATATGTTTGTTTTTGAGGTAGAGGTAAATAATATTTTTCAGAAATTCCCATGTAATTCTGTGGCGTAGCCAAGTGTTTAAAGCTTGGGGTATTCTAATCTACCAGAATATACTTTTTATAATAATTTTTTTTTTTTTAAATTTCAAAAACATTTAAACAAAAATGGAGATAATCAGAATATAAAATTTTTACAGTTTAATCACTTTCTGAAATTTACTTGAAAGATTTTTATGATTCCCCTCACTCTCTCTTCCCCCCACATCATTCTAAAAAGCACAATTTTACTGCTCAGTTATATCAATGGGTATGACTGAATTCTATATATTACAATCATAATTTTTCATACTTTACTTCCCCTATATCTAAAAAAAAAAAATAAATAAATAAATAAACTCAGTGGCGCAAACAGCCCTAATGGGCCAACGCCTGCAGTGCCCCGAAATCTGCTTTCCGGGGTGCATAAGCATATGCCCTGAACAAGTAGTCAGCTTGTTGCAGGCCCCCCAGTGTTTAGTCCCCAAGCGAACTTGGTACTTATTTTATTGACCCAAGGGATGGAAAACAAGGGATGAAAGGCTGAGTCAACCTTGCCCAACCTGGAAATCGAACCCTGGAACTGTGGTCTGCTGCACGATGTGCTAGTCACTGCGCCACCAGGCCTCTAAAGCAAAGATATAAAGTGGAGAAAATATTGGCCAAACATTTATTTGCATCACATGCTTCATAAACATATGTTGCTTTTTCCTATTTTTGAAGGTTTTATATTAGTGAAAAATAATTGGGGAGTTTTATTCCTGCATTTAGTAGAACTGCTTGTTTTTGGCTTATCTATCCCCTATATCTATTCATTAAATTATTCAGATACCTTAGGATATTATTATATACATTAAAATGTTTCACTGATTTAAATATCATGCAGATACTAAAGCTAGACAGCAATATTTGCCACTAAATTTAATTCCACTAATTTGGCATATTATGTCTTCATCTGCTTCTAATGTTTCTTAAAGTTACACTTATCAATTAATAAACGAAATTCCTAAATTATCATACCCTTCAGTTTGTCACAATTTTTTTTCCCTCGTTCAGATTTAGCCCTTATCTCTTTTTGCGTTCAATTTCTCGTGCACTAGATGGCTGAAGGATTTGGGTAGCAGAATGGTACTGCCTACTACTTTTGGGTAGTAGGCAGTACTGATGAAGCCTCTAAAAGGTTCTAAACTAAATTTATATTGGAATCCCATTTATATCAATCGTTTCTAGCAAATTCCTAAAAAAATCATCTAAAATTTGTGTTCTTACTAGAGAATAAAAACATTAATGAAATAATATAGTGTAATAAAAGAGATTTATAAATACATAAAATACAATTAATTAGTTTTAAAAAATTAAAAATTTTCATTTCAGAAAATTGTTCATAATACCTTTGCAATCTAGCCCTCTAAGAGTATCTTTTCTTTATAACAATCATTCCTATGGACCTTACTATTCCATTAAATTTCTTAAAAAAATGTCATCCTTATTTTAAAACAGAGGAAGTATTTCTGTTGTTGTATTACTTACAGAGATAGTTAAGAAAATGTTTAGTAATATCTCAATACTGGGAAAAGAAGATACAATATTTTTATTTTTTATGAACTAGTATACCTCATTAGGGCTCTGCAAATTCTGCTTTCTTGTTATTCAAGTACACTGTTATAGCTCATCATCTAGTTCTTCAACATCAACCTCATTACAGTACACATTTCTTACTATACATATAATTATCTGAAGTTAAATTTACATGCTAACTGAAATGTACACATTTTCTATCATTTTACGACTTTCCCCGTTCAATCTCTCTTAATCATTGTATAAAAATACTTTAAATACATTTATTTTATCTGAGATATTGTTTATACTAATTTTTATTATCAGTGCTTGTCTATGAAAAATTAACAGAAGTTTGCTTAATGTTATTTTGCTTTTAGAAAAGACTTATATAATAATAGCTTAAAAATTACAGACAGATTTTGCTTCCATGGGGAGGGAAAGAAAAGTAAAAATGTCATTTAGCAATTTTCTTAAATAATGACTGGTAAAAATATGGCTTTAACTGTAAAAGAGGTTACAAGATTAGGGCAGTTTTACAAAATGTTTCAATTAACTAAGAAATAAATTAAAGAAAAAATACATCAGTCTCTCTCACTATTAGACAACAGAAGTTTCATCTTAATGCACTATGCTCGCTACCTCCTTAATTTTGGATGATGAAATTAAATATTACATTGTAGAGACATTAGATCTATTTTAAAGCAGGAGATCTGAAAAATGAGCAATGCCCTCGCAGGGACTCGAACCACTAACTTCTCGAATACGCCCCGAGTGTGCTGGCTTATTACACCACAAAGGCATGGTAAAAAGGCGGGAGAAATACTTTATAACATATGTTTATATTTTCTGTCTGTATGAGCTGGCCATTTAATATTAACATTCTTGCTTTTAATGTTATTTTATGTTTCATGTGGTACTTGGCATATTTTCATACACTTCTTTTGTAGATATGAGATCTTCCCATTAAAATTTGGTGATTTCTTCTTTGTTTTATGCCACTACACTCGTTAACAGCTTCATAGGAATGATTTACTTTAAGAAAGCATGAAAGATATCAACATTAATTCCCCAAAATCTTTTTTATAATAAAATGAAAATAATTACCACTTGCATTAATCTCCACATCCACATTTGCTATTCTAGAAGATGGATGTACCCCTACTTCTGCAACAGTTTTTAAAGATCCACAATTGTTATTAATTTGTCTTAGCAAATCATGCACTGAATACCTATACCAATAAAATAAATGAATAAATAACACTTTCATTCAGGTGTGCGTATAAATATATGTCTACGATAAATATATAAACAAATAAAATAATATTAAAATTTTTGAGAAAATGAAATAAGAACATAAAAATGCTGATAATCATGTGATTATATATAAAAATCAATAAACTTAACAACAGTTTTCAGCAATTGCACAAATAAAGATTAATAATAACAATATTATCAATTTTGCATATATGTAAATAATTTTAGTGAAATTATATGTGAAATTCTAGTATTTTTCGTAGTAAGTGATATGAAATGCTTGAAAGAGACGATGCTCTGCCACAAAAATAACACTACACGGGCACGTCTCTTTAACATTGAGTAAATGGCTATCTCGCTAAATTGGCAGTGGTTTTGACAATTAATTTCTGTTGCCAAACTTGGCAAGAAATGCCAAAACTCGCCAAGCTTGGCGACCATTTGGTGACATTCTGGTCTGGTTCCTGTACAAATATAATTGGTACTATGGTTGAATAACTGTAATTGATCCCATTATACAACTGTGATCGTATCCAGACCTCATATGCCTTCCAGTAATTACTGAAGAAGTGGAAGGTACTAGAGATTTCTCAGTGGCTGATGGAAAACTATTCAAGACCACAGAGAGCATCAGTTTCTCAGTTATCCAGTTCAAAGTATTGTGAATCTCTGAATTAGCTATGATCTTTAGATGCATTGCATCGTGTTCAACGTTCTTAGTAGTTTGCAGTGTAACTACTGGCTTTACTCTGTGATACTGTGAAGAGCAGTATGAGTATTTTTGTGGAAAGTTTCCAGGATTGTGAAGTGCATTATGTAAAATAAATTTTATTAAGGTATCACTGTTTCTGTGTGCATTCAATCTATTACAAACCCATACATATGCAACAATAACGGTAACCCTAACTTGAGTACACCACATACTTACTTTGCCATGCTGTCACCTACAAAGCCTATAAGTATCAATTTATAAAAGGTAATAACAACTCATATCTGCCATATTTTCCTAAATTTTGTAAACAATTTATCTAAGAAAGTATATCCAGGATAACACAATTTTTTAAAATTATTATTTTAAATGCTCATCAAATGAAATACTAATTTTATTATTCTCAATTAAAAATTATTTAACTTATAAGGCAAAAATTAATTTCAGAATCGTTTTTATAACAGACTTCTGTCTCATGCATTTTATGCAAAAAATGTTAGACATATAATCAATTAATGACTATTGTTTGCTTCAATACCAGTGCTATTACACAAATACATTTAAATCACTCACTTATTTGCCAAACTGGTTAGCTCAGGAATTAAATCATCTTTCCATTCAGCATTTCCAGTATATATAAAATTGAGAAATTGCAGTGCACCATCAAATGATATGTCTTTCCAGTCTAATACATATTTTTCATGGCTTGTTGTATCTAGAAGCTAAAAACAGGAAGTATATATATATTGCATCACACTTATAAACACAGAAACAAAAAATAAACAGAGCAATCATCATTCAGTACTTTATTTTAATGAAACTAAAACATGAACTTTTTGGCCTATTTCTTTTCTCAAGCCACTGGCTTGATATTTGATGTCCTCCCCCCCGAAGTTTTTTTATTATCTTTTTAAATTTTTGGCCCCTTTTAATAACATTCTGTTTGCCATAATTTACAGTAAAACGTTTATTTCAAACAGCTTGAAAATTGGAAGATTTATATAGATTCCAACAGCCAGAAAATATAGTAGTTTCATCTAGCACATTCACTAATATGGTGGCCATTAAAATTTTCACTAAACAGTGGGAACATTGACAAGAAAAAGCTACCCCCCCAAAAAAAATGGATGGGCAAGAACATGACTTATGTTCTTCTTCTTCTTCTCTCTCTCTCTCCTTTTTTTTTTTATGAATTTGCTTTTTTAATTTCTACAGATTTAGTGCAGCCATATATTTTAACATCAAGATGCGAAAATAAGGAACTGGCATATACCTTTCATACATAATCATTCCAGTCAATCATTCTGTTGTGATTTTCACTTGAAGCTGTAGTTTGAAAAACTCATTTGACATTAATGCATAACACCTTAAGTAAACTAGAAGTAAATGAATTAAATAGTACAGTTAAAAGTCGTTAATTCGGTCACCCATAATTCGGAATGATCTATAATCCGGACCTCAAAGCTAAAAACTTTCTGTGCATGCGGCGCGTTGACACATGCGCATAGGCGTTTACGCGTGCGCATAAGACCTTTACGACTGCGCATATGCGTGTGCGCAAGTGCAGAATACGTTTTTGGTGCGCGTTTTATGTATAACGGACGGTATAAGCTAAAATTATCTAATTATCTATTTCAGTTAATGTTGATGATTGTGTTGTTCCTTAATCTTCGAATTGGATCCGGTTTATTATTTTTTGCAGACTGTAAAAGCAATTGTATAAAAGTAAACTTGAACTTTCGATTATGTCAAATAGAATTTCTGATGCTGGAGCTCCCAAAGGATCTACAAAACAAAAGTATGTTTCAATGTCCATCAAACAAAAAGTGGAATTGCTGCAAAAAATGGATAAAGACATGAAGAAGGTGACAGAGAGGTTAGTGAAAACGAAAAAATTTCGATTGACAAGTTAGTCGGTATTCTCGGCACAGCAATTATGGGACTTGAACTGCGGAACTCTGTAACTGAACAAGAAATTATGTCTGTTTATAGAATTAAAGAGAAAGTATTATCACATAAAACGAAGCAACTTAAACAACTTACATTGAAAGAAATGTTTAAAAGTAAACAAGTAAAAATAAATATTAAGCTTTTTTTTTTTGTAAATTTTGATACCCTTTAGATCATAATTGTTCTTTATTTCATAAATTATGGTTTCATATTTTTAATTTTAGAATTTCTGCATGCCATCTTACTAGATTTAAACTGATGATCTATAATCTGGAATCACCTAAGTCCCGACGAGTCCGGATTAACGACTTTTGACTGTAATGCATCATAAGCAAATAAATCCTACAATGGTAATGAAAGAAATAAGGGATCCAGCTAACCACATTTGGACACCTGTTTCTTCCTGGCATGAAATAAAGGCTCCTTAGCCATTTTGGTTTCAAATCACATTTTAATTTCAAAAAGTGGTTATATTAACATGCAAATGTCAGTTTCCAGGAAGAAGAAATAGGAAGTTTCAGTCAAAAATACAGATAACTGATAGAATAAGCATGCAACAATAAGTTATTATTATGAATCAATAAAGGTTTCATTTTGCTGAAAATAATAGGCATGATTACCAAAAATTAAATAAAATAAACACACACTGCAATTTGAAAGCTTCAGATTACAGTCTAACATCTCAAAGAGATCACCATTAAAGCTTAAAAAATTTTAAATAGAATCAAATTAAAATAAAATCGATTAAAAAGAAACTGCACTCTGATCCTCATACGCAGATTTCAGTTTAATGCCTGAATTAGGCTAAAATTAAAAGTTTACAAATTAGTTCTTCCAAAATATATGATACAGAACATAAAACTTTATATTTAAAATGAGCTGTTCAAAAGACAAAACCAAAAGGGTAGAAAAAATTTCTTGTGGAATTACTTCATAAATTAATGTAATGTGAAGATATGTGTATTTATTCAATAAAGAAAAGACTTAATAACAAAGAAAAGAATTATTCAACAATTATGCATGTATTTTATTAGATTGCTTGTGTATAAGGCTTACAACAAATATTTTCCTCATAAGGCAATACTTTCTAATTTGCGGACACAAAATTCACATACTGAAAACAATAAATATCTCAATCTTCAAAATGTATAGGCTTTTAAAGCTGTCTTTTCTAATTTACTACTATTTATCTTTAATTAAAGATTAAATCAGTAGTTAAATGACTAATTAAAGCATTAAAAATTATTTTAAATGTTTTCTGCTTTCCTTAGAAATTGTCCTCCACTCCAATAAAATTCATTGTGAAATGCCTCAATTTTAATTGTTCAGTCTGGTTAAATTAAATTTGAATAAGTAATGAATTGGCTATACAGTTGGCAGTCTTTTATTATATTAAGTGAGCGTATGTATTCATATTAATTTTTTTATCAAGTTATACAATTCTAATAAAAATTCTGCTAATTTTTTACCCTGCAGTAGTTAAAACTGAAATATAAGAAAGCAAACAGTAATTTTGTAGTCAATAAAAATTTCCACAAGAGCTTTAAAAAGCATTAAAAATCTCATATGCAAGTTAAATACCTTCATCACATAGTATAGGACTTACTTTTTTCAAAGATGGGCATCTTGCAGATAAAAATAATTTATGGGCAGGGATAACTATTCCACTGGCTGTATGTATTTCAACATCACTCATATAAGAGCTTGCAACAAGTGATTGAAAACAATCAATAACAGAATTATTTGAATCCAATGTTTGATTATATTCTGGTAATACCTGGAACAAATAGTCATAAAAAATGAACTTCCTTAATATGTTAATAACATCCTTAATATGTAAATGGTGCAATCAAATTCACAGTTCTAGTTTAAATAAATCAAAAAGTATCCCAAATATAAATTGCCCTAATGGACATTTATAGATTCATTATATAGGATATGACAAATCAAAAGATTTTACAAAAAGCAAATGTGAAATAACAGTAAAAGGCAGCACACAGCACTGACATAATGTACACTGTGCAAAAACGAGTAGGCTCAGAATGTTGAAATTTTGTATATGGGACTGCTGTAACATGTAGTTGTGCACCTCCCTGTTTGCTTGCAACCAGCCTCACCAAAGTTATATATATATGATCTACCTGAAAGCTCTGACTGTTTCTATGACAACAATTTTCAACAAGCAGCACGTTTATTTGGCACATGTTTGGCTATTTTTATTGCTTAGTGCAAGGGTTCTCAACCAGTGGTACGCAAAGAAGGAAAGTATTTTTAGCTATTAATTTAAAAAATTAAAACCCGAACATCCTGATTGAGGTTTTTCTCTAAGACTCATAAATTTATGCGATTTGTGTTTTATTCAAGAGTGGTGGTGGTATTAGTACTTTGTAGTGGTGGTGCAAATGGTTTTCAGTTTTTGTTTAGATGGTACACGTTAGTCAAAAGGTTGAGAAACGCAGGCTTAGTGTTTACATACTGATGTAGGAAACTAAATAAAACAAAGTTGATTTACATTAGTCTTAAGTGTGAAACGATACTGTACCCATGGCTACTGATAAAGTTCATTTACGCCACTGTATTTTATAAGAATTTCAACAAGGAAGAAATGCTACAGAAGCATGTAGAAATTTATTGAAAGTTTTTGGTGAAAGTACAGTTTTTATAGGACATGCAGAAGATGGTCCGAAAAATTTGAAACAGGTAACTATGACCTTTCTGATACACCACATTCTGGGCAACTATCTTTGATCGATGACAATATTGTTAAGATCATTTTTAATTTTGTCACCAGGCTCAGTAGAACGGGAGATATAGAAATGTCCCCCCTTTTTTTTGTGCACTGTACATACAGATGCCACAAAACCACTTCTGAATCGATCTGACAATCTTTTTTGGAAAAAATTCTGTCCCTACATACAGATGCTACATTTCCATGCACTAAGGCACATTTTAAATGATATGTAATGCATCCAGGTAAGGTGTGCAATTTGTGACTGATTCTTTGACTGTCTACTCAGTAAAATAACTTATAATGATTTGTAACATTAACTCTTAACTAAACGGCTCACTTATAGAAATGCTTTTAGTCCTGAGCCATGAAATAGTCATATAAATCTCATACTGTAAAAATTTCACAAGTTTTGCCTCTTCTCTTCCTTCTATAAAATCTATTATTTAGCAGTACAGATACACTAAGCAAAACTATGTTATAGGAGTAAGATTTTATTTTCTTAATTGTGTTTCACTTACATCCTAATATAAAGACCTAGGAGCAAATGAATAAAAATTGCGAATTCCTACACACACATTAAAACTTTCTGGCATGCTACTTTTTAAAGTTGGAATTTCGATTAAAAAAAAAAGTAGGCAGCTTAATTAGGCCTAGAGGAGTACACAAGTAAAATTTTGTAAAGATAGCATTTATCGTTTTAATTCTGTGAGTGTGTCCAAAGGGGACACACTGATTGAATAGAGCTTCGAAAAGTGTGCTGAAACGAGCATTGCTGGGAAGCGCGTAAAAGAGTAAGAGATTTTGCCTACGATTAAAAAACACTAGATTCTGAATACCACAGCAGATTTAGCATTACAGAGAGATCTTCTACTCTACAACCCCCTAAAAAGCTCATTTTTGGTTATATGATGATTACAATGAAAAAAAAAAAATACTTGGGTATATGATATTTACATTATTTACATTTCATATTCACGCTTTAGTCTATTTTTTTCATCATGATACTTTTTGAAGAAAGTGACACCACCTTTAAAAAAGCACACCCCAATATTGCATATTTTGCACATGTGCTGGGATCCGTATCAGATTCACTATCTGAAAGCAATTCGTGTAGCACTTTCAGAAATGAAAAACTTCTTTGAACGAACCAAAGTGAAAGAGAAAAAGAGAACTGCTCTAGTGAAAAATCAAACAGCCAACTGATAAAATTATCTCTGACCTTCAAAAAAATCACCCCAACAATTTCTTAGTTGATAACCAAACCTCCCCTCCCCCCCCCCAAATGAAAGAAAATAAGAAAGAGAAAAACAGGAAACGAAACACAGATGTGGACCTATCTTTCTGTGCTAATGAGCTGACCGATGAGCTGCAGAGAAACAAAGATACAGCTGCCTCTCAGTGACTTAGACTCGCAGTGAGCCCAGTCTGAGAACACCTCAGTCTGCCGTTTGATTTTAGGCAAGATTTCAAGGTAAAAATTTAAAACTAATATAGAATAAGGAGATTAGCATACAGACAAAAAAAAAAAAAAAAAAAATTCCTTTCAAACAATTCCTTTTATATCTAAAAAAATCTGGAAGATTTCTTTGAAAAATGAGGGTCTTAAAAAACTAAACATGGCTAAAATGTATGGACTGGCTTGCATTGGGCTGCCATCTATTATAAATAAAGAAGGTTCAGCGTAACCTATAGTAACCTTCAGATCATTTTTCATTCAATTTTTCTGTGCGTACAGAAGAAAATTTTTAGGTGCCCCTGACTGGGCACACAGTGCTGCAAAGGGTTAAAGAAATGTAATATTTATCAATTTCTAATTTTATATTTACGATTACTGGCACTTAAAATTGAAAAACGCAATATAAGCAAATAAAGTATATTTTGTCTTTCAAAAACGAATAATTTTTATTTATTCACTATAAAATTTTAACTTGATTCTTTTTTATGAAGTAAAACTGGAGCCACTTCTGATGTCAATACAAAACAATAATCAAATTTTGCTGTGTTTTAATTTTAGCAAGATGTTTCAATACAAACATTATAAATTTTAGAATACTGTACTTACAGCATCTGTATTACTGTTGCTAAAACTATAATCACGTGGTACTTGGGTAATGATGTGATAACCTGGTATCTGAGAAAGATTGAACAGTTTGCAGCCAGTCTCAGTATTTGATGGGGTTATCCAATCAAACAGCTGTTCCACATAATACATAGTCTTCTCCTCATTTTTACTACTCAAATTCCACAACAGAGGGACCTGTTAGGGATACACATTAATGATAATAAATTATATATTTATCATTTTTTAAACTGCTTTAAATTTTATATAGATTTTAGCATAATTTTTCAGTTTACATGAACTTCAAAACATTAAAATTAAAAAAAAAAATATGTCAATATAAGAAATTTCTTTTAAAATAAATTATTTGGAATATTTTGCTTCTTTATAGCATGCTCAAAAATAAAATACTGATTGTAGATATTATACACAAATAAAATATGCAAAAATAAGAATTAAAGTCTTATACCTGCATCTGATTAGAAAGACTTTTTGAAGAGCTTTCAGTATTTCCCTCTTTAGTAATGTTACTTTCAATCATATTCTGAAATAAAGCAGAGCATGGGAAGATAAACACAAAATAATACTTTAAAGTTTCAAGTTTATCACAATTTAATGATAAAAACTGTTTACTGCAAAATGTCAAAAACTGAAAAGCCTGATATCAAAGGTCCACTCAGTATAACAATGATTTCCAGCCTCTTGTACAATGTTGTTATGCTGTATGTAGTCACATACAACAATATATGTGTGCCTGTTAACAGTAACACTACCTTACCTACATCAATGGATATGACCATTTAATACCAGAAATTTTAGATTTTGTTTTGATGGCAGAATAACTTCATTGTCTAAGATTTTCAATTGTCTTCTTCACGTCTCATGTGAATACTTTCCTTTGAAAATCTTCCAGAAAAAGCATTCCTTCCAAGATGAATACTCTCTATTGTTTTTGAAACCTTAACTAACTAAAAAATAGCATGAGGAGAAAAAAGAAACTGAATTCTGAATTGCCTTAAAAACCATGAAATTTTCAATGCCATTCAAAATTCATTGAAATTGCACTAAAAACATGAGACCATGAATATATTGCAATGCATAAGAGCAGAATAAATTTTAACAACAGAATTTTTCTGAATGAGATTGGTATTTCTTAGGATCCAAAAGAATAATGCTATTGTGTGATAGTACAACACACAACCAAAGGGAAGAAATTCATATGTGCAATCTCCTCACAAGTTGCAATTTGGAGGTGCAAGAATGCTCTGATATTATAGAAATAATAACTTGTTCAGTAATGCCTCTACTTCACATTACAAAAGCCATAAATTCATGACCAATGGCAAGAGATTTTAGTGATCTACACTGTACCTGTCATCTAAGCCTCTTGAATTTAAGGGGCTGACCAATCAATGACTCTGCAGCTCCTCTGATATCATTTTCAAGGATGTAAAAGAGGAAGGAAAAGAAAAGAGCTATATCCATCAACATTTTACTAAATTAAGAAAAAAAAGATTTATATATATATATAAAAAAAAAAGAAAAGAAAAAAAAAGGCTTAATATAGCTTATAGGGGAAAATTAAAGTTTATAAGTTTTAACTTTTTTTTTTTTTTTATAAACTCAAAATATAATCTGACATAAAATTTTTCTAACTAAAGTACTAAAAACTACATCAAAGGAGTTATAATAAAGTGATATACCAAAGGATTGACAATAGCATCAACTTTTTCTTCCAAAATTTTTCTTCTTTCCTCTTCAGTTCTAAGCAGTAATATAGGAGTCTCTTTTCTACAACACAAAACAGTAATATTATGGAGCATGCTAATATTATAAGATCATTTAATGCTTTGCTGTACTTTTTAAAATAAAAATCAATTTTATAAAATATTATAAAACTGGTGTTCATCTTAAATGACGCATACACTAATATAAAAATCTGCGACATAAAGTTAAATACACTGTAAATGAATTAAATCCTTGCAGCAGAACACACATCACACTACAAATTTTAACTTTTTTCATGACATATACATAACATTTGGATCCAATCTGAATTCATATATGACAGAAGCTTTTTATCAATAATGATACAGTAAAAACTAATATTTTAATAATTACAATAAACTGAGAATGTTACTGTAAAATATTTGCTTTGCCATGATATCTAAAATGGCATTTGTATTCGCATAAAGTTGTACTGGACTGTATTTGTCTCTATTTGTGACTTTTGTTGGTACATTCCCTCCCCACCACTTTTTATATCTCCAAGAAAGATAACTGAATTTGGGATTTTAAAAAGATCATAAACAAAAAGCAGTAAAAAACTTGAATAAATTGCATCTTAGAGCTGCAGATGGAGGGAGGGGGAATATATATTTAAAAGAGTTAAAGCATCTGAATATTTTTAAAAATAAAATTCAAGTTTATGATTTATCCTTATTATAGGGAGATTGTAATTTTCAACAGGGAGGATGTATACAATATTATTTATGAACAATATATAATTAATAAACAATAATATAATACATAAACAATCTAAAAATTGTCCTACTTTCCATTTTTGGATTTTGTTATATATATATTACAATAGCTTAGCTTTGAGTAAATGACCAAGTTTTACATATTTCAAACATATTTTTTTTTATAATTCAACAACAAAATTAAGAAAATGCTGCGACAGTTTTTTAAAATATACTAGTGGGCTGATGCCAAAGTAAAATTGATGAGTTCTATACACACTTAAAAAGAAAATGTATAAAAACATTTCAATATAAATGAAATCAGTTCATTCTTTCCAAGAAACAACCAATTCATAAAAAATGTTTTTGTTGCCAAACTAGGAGATAAAATCTTTTGACACTCCAAGTTAATATGTATATATATATTTTAAATTTAATGTAACATAACAACTCTTTTTTTCACTATCAATAAAAGAATTAACATGGCAATAACATATTGCATCGACTAGCTATTTATTTAAAATGCTGACATTAATGAAAAATTTTTGACATGCAATGATGTCACATGCAATCGCATGCTTTCTTTAATATCAGACTATGACCATATATAATAATAACATATTTAATGTTTCGCAATGCTGTTTTTATTTCATATTTCATAAAATTTATAAATTTTTTATTAACAAAATCTATAATTTGAAAAGCTACCATTGGCAAAAGAAATAAAGAAGATCTTTATCTTCAGTGCATAAAACTGCTGCCAATAGGAAAAATGATAGCGAAAATTAGCGTTTTCAGAGTTTTTAATTAATATCTTGACTGATCAAAGTCATATGAAGATGAGAATGGTTGAAACAGCTTTTCACGAATTTCTGGAATATGGGGATAACTCTCTTGAAACCCAACTCCCCGCTGTTCCGGAGGAGACGATGACACAAACGAACAAACAGATGAGCGCAGATTTTATTAGTATAGATCAGCGGTCATCAACCAGTGGTCCATGATAACATTTTGCTGGTCCGCAGAAAAATTGGGACATTATTTATATTTTTATGAAGATTCAGTTTAAAAAATGATGAGTAACAAAAACCTATTATGGAATATGGATTATACTTTTTTTTTAATTTTAGCTACTACTTTTAGCAAAATTACTTCTGAATTTAGCAGCTACTTTTGCAAGTGTATCTAGCGACAATTGGCATCCATGGATATGTTTTCCTTTTGAATTACAAACATATGCTATTGTTGTCGTTAATAACACAGTTTTTCTCCATGTCAACCCGCAACTTGATGGATTTTTATGAGAACCATCTGCAGTCTTGTTTATAATTGCATCACTGGAAGTTTACATTTTTGTTTTGTCTAACTGTTGATCGATGGCCCATTGCTGAGTAAGCGATGATTTAATATGTTTTCAATAATTAAAAATTGGCAACATAACACTATCAGTTTATTGATATTGCTTTGCGTTTGCCGCTTTGTTCTTGCTTTTCGTGAGGTTCGTTTTGAGTGATATGGAAATGTGAAGCTTTCTGTACGAGTAGGTAAGATTTTTGTACTTTTCATGTAATTTTTGAATGTGAAGGAAATATGTATAGTTTGCTGATTATTATTGTATGCAATTCATATTAGTGGTCCGCCAAATATAAAATTATATATGTAGTGGTCTGTGAAGTCCTAAGGTTTGATGACCTCTGGTAACTAATTTCATAAAAATACAGTTTTCAATGCATAATTTTGAAAAATAATCACAAATCCTAACTTTTCCATTTTTTAAAATCAAATAAAAATATGTATACATTAAATTAAAAAAAAATTAAGCTTAGTGTATCTTATATTTATTAATTATCACATACATCAATTTCTCAGTTTATAAAATAAAACATTTATATTTGTTTTCATAACTTTGAGAACAGCTTCAAATAAATAGGTTTAATGATAAAATATGAGTTTTGATGAAAAAATATTTAAAAAAAACATTTACTTAAATATATATATATGTGTGTGTGTGTGTGTCAGTGGCTTAAAGGGATGATGTAATATAGTATATATAAGGCATAGACAAATTGTGGTCCACAAGCCGCACTGTGGCTCTTGGACACCTTAATTGCAGTTTGTGAGTTACTTGTGAGCCTTCGTCTTTTAAATGTGATTTGTTTACAACACACAGTAGTTCAAAATATGACTGGATTTAGGAATAGACATCATACAATAAGACATTTTTTTGTTAAATAACTTACTTAATTTCTTAAATTATATTTATGCAATAATTTAATTGATTTCAAACTGCCCGCCTCATACTTAACATCAGAATTACAAACAATTCCATTTCTGCCATGTATTATGATGATGTTACTTTTAGAACAGCTAATGGCCATCGGGACAGCACAAAATATACAAATACGAAGTTACTGTAATTTCCGGAAGAAACGCCGCTGCGTTTACGTGTTTAAAACTTAAATTTTCAGCGGGTGCGGCATTTCTACCCATGCGGCATTTATGCGCACTAAAAATAAAATATTTCCTATAATGGTCATTTTACATAGTTTGGATGGCCTTGTCATTGTGCATAGACTGGTGCTGTTTCCACACAAAAGACCACTCAGTTGCTTTTTGCAAACATTATTTTGTTTACATTAATTAAGAATTATAACGAAGACTTTACTAAACAAATGCTAGATAGAATTATAAATGATCGTTTAGACAGGGAAAAGTTAGAAATTTTAGAAAAAGAAAAAGATAAGCAAAGAGCATTTGAAATGGAAATTATAGAAAAAGATAAGCAAAGAGCATTTGAAATGAAAGAAGAAAAGAAAGAAAAATTGAAAGAACATTTGAACTTGAAAAATTGAAAATAGAAGCGGAAATCAGAAGTAAGTAGTAATGTAAATGATTCTGTTCCTTCTAATGTTAGTAGAAGTAATATTTGTGATATGAGTAAATTAATGCATAAGTATGATTTGAATGAAGGTGATATAAGTTTTTATCTAGTTTTTATTTGAGAGACAGGCATGACGTATTGGGTTAGAAGAACAAAACTGGGTTTCTCAGCTGTTGGGATCTATTTGCCTTATGAAATAACTCAATTAATTGCCCGTGAATCAGAAGAGAAAGCTAACGACTATAAGCACGTTAAGCAACTGCTACTGAGAAAATTTAAGCCCCTGAACAGTTTCGGCAAAAGTTCGTTGATCATATTAAAACTTTGCGTAATACGTGGAAGGACTTCACGTTTTGAATTAAAAATTATTTTGAAGAGTGGCTTGCTGGATTAAATGTAACAGATTTTGACTCTTTAAAACAACTTATTATTACTGATCAATTAAAGAAGAGGGTCCCCGCTGCTATCCGAGACCATTTCATTGATGATTGGTCTAAATTCATTAATCCTGAAGAGTTAGCTGAAAAACTAGATGAATATGAAAATATTCGGGCAGGGATAAAAGTACTTCAAGTAGAAAATAAAACTTTTAGGCATAATTCTAAGCCCAAATCTGGTTCTAAATTTTATGAAGGATCCTATAATCAGTATTCAAGACAAAGAAATGTTAACGATTCCATGCAGACAGATGGTAATTTCAAAGTGGGTTTTAAAAACAGTTTTGATAATAAATACAATCTGAGAGATAAGTTTTATAAAACAGACGAAAGGAAAAGGGAATATAATTCTGGCATCCGCAATGAAAAGGGTGAGCCGAATGCTTCAATTGTAATGATTATGGACATATAGCGACGGATTGTCCTCAACCTAAAAAAGAAATTATTTGCAGGAAATGTAATGAAAAGGGTCATACTTTAAAAAAGTGTACGTCTAAGAATCCAGACTTGACAAATGTTAAAAATAATTTATCCGTGAACCAGAATTCAGGTGTTTCACCAGCTGTATATTTAAAGTATGCTCGCATCAATAATGGAGAAGAAATTACTGCAATCATAGATACGGGTTCTAGTTCGTGTTTATTGAAACAGTCTGCTGCTAAGAGACTGAATCTTATTATAAAACCTGATGTGGAGGAATTGTTTGGTTTTGGGAACCAGAATAAACCAGCCGCTAGAAACATTGGGAAAAGTAACTGTTAACTTAGAGATTGATAATGTGGAAGGAAAGGACATTACAGTTCTAATTGTAGGAGATGAAACGCAACCATGCGACTTATTAGTTGGTCGAACATGGATTGATTTACCGCATATTGCATACGCCAAGATAGGAAATACCTTGCACATACGCTATGCTAATGACTGCCCATTTTCACAGTTGCAAAATGATAGCAACACTCCGCGAATTAAACTGAAGGCTTCCCAAGAAACTCAAATCGAAAGTAATACGGT